AAAGCATAAATATCAGTCTAGAGAGTAAGGTGCGTCTGATCCTGGCCATAGTCTTTGCAATTACTTGCTATGAATCAGAGAGCTGGACATTGACTAAGGATGATGGGAAAATTGATGCCTTTGAGTTGTGGTGCTGGAGAAGAGTCCTGCACATACCATGGACCACCAAGAAAACCAATAGTCTGCGTTGGAGAGGACAAAACCAAGTTTCTCGTTGTTGTTGTTGTCAGGTGCCATCGAGTCATAGACTCATAGCGACCCTATGAACGAAAGGCCTGAGCACTGTTCGTACATAGAATTTCCGGAGGCAAGCCATTTCGGAAGTGCATGCCGCTCCTGCTTCCAGGCTTGTTTTAGTCGGGAAGCTCCAGCCAACACTGTCCACCATGGGTGCCCATTACCACGTTTGACACATCACTGTCACAGTGTTCAGCATCATAGCAAGCACGAGTTACCTCTGTACAGCAATGGACAGACCGGTGCTATACCACTGATTTTTTTTCTCCATGGAGGCTAGAATTTTTAAGCTCTCTCTTGCATACTTTGGGCACATGGCCAGGAGGGACCATTTTTTTGGAGAAGGGCATCATTCTCGGAAGGGTGGAGGGACAGTGCAGGAGAGGAAGACCCAGGATGAGATGGATTGATACAGTAACTGGGATAATGAGGATAGGTGTGTCAGTGAGACTGCCTCAGGACATGGCAGACTTCAGAGCTGCTGTATAGGGTCGCTGTGAGTCACTGGTGACTTGATGGCACATAACAACAAAGAGGAGAGAGAATCCCAAGGAGGGGAAGGTTTTCTTGAACCGATTCTCTTCCCTTCCCTTCCCTTCCCTTCCTTCCCTTCCTTTCCTTCCTTTCCTTCCCATATTACTAGTTTTAAGAGTGAAAAGAGCATCTGGCCCTGTTTCCAGCCAAGGGCATAGTCTGCCTCCATTTGGGAGACAGAACTTTTTTTTATTTTTTTCTTCTTCTTCCTTTATTTTATTTTTTGTTTTACCGGTTTGCCTACAAAGTTCGTATAGATTGTATTTCACACTGTTCTTCATTCACATTGTGTTTCATACAATCATTCTCATGCATTATGTTTTATACAATTAATCACTTTTGGACCTTGTCCATCATTACCCTGTCTTTTCACCTGCATCCTTCCCATTTGCTTTCCCCCAATCCCACCCACCTGATAAACTCTTATCTTCACTTGAACCCAATTTGGGGCAAAAGACAGACCCTGTTCAAGGGTAAGTCCCTGTCTCCAACTGAAGCAACAATACTTAATCGTTTGTAGCTTTTTCTTTTCCTTCCTCTGTAGATTTTCTTCCCAGTGCTCTTTGGAGCAAGAGTGATGAGGTTTCTCCTCACATACTTTTGGGCACGTTGCTAGGAGAGGCTGTTCCTTGGAGAAGGAAATGATGCTCAGAAGGTAGTCACGCTGGCAAAGGAGAGTAAGACCCTCAACCAGGTGGACTGACACAGTGACTGCTGCAGTGGGCTCTTGTGTGTCAGGAAGTGTGAGGATGGCGCAGGATAGAACAGGGTTCAGATCTTTTGTTCATAGTGTCGAACTTAACTCGACAGCACCTAACAGCAGTAACGATAATAGAAACTTTAACATTAACCCCAGGGCCTGTCACAGGGGCATTGATTTTCTCATTTTCTCTAGACGTCCTCCTACTTGAATTGTTGTTTCCCATCCTGGTTTCTTTAGTATGTGTTTCCTGTTTAGAGGCTCAAAATGTTCCCTCTTATTCTGGAGGTTTCTTGCAACTTTCTCAAACCCTGCTTATTCTGGGATGTTTTCATAATTTGTTCTGCTAAGATTAATAGCAGACTATAAAAAGTCTCAGGTCAGTGTAGTCCCAAATGCTGGACGTGCTGTGTAAGTCCATGATACCTGCTATCAGTTGCTCTTCCTTTTGTTTCCAGCTCCACTGTGTCCCGTGGGTTCAGTGATGCACTAGAAAGTCTCCCAGAGACTCGGGCCTATTAGGGCAATGACTCACGTGACCTTAGATAGCAGGCTGGTTTTGGAGAAACTGGAGTGATGGACCAGGATTCTGTAGACTGTCCACAGAGCTGGATGGCAACTGTGAGTGATGCAAGCTGGTTGTGGAGAGACTGGTGAACATCTAGAAGCTTTGTCCCAAGTGAGCGAGCCTTCTACAAAAGTAAACGATGCCTGACACTCCGGTCCCATGAGCTGGAAGGGTGGAGCTTGTGTTCTAATCCTCTTTCCTTAATACAATAACTCCTTCAGCACAAAACAAACACTTAATCATTAGCTAGAGAAGACACACGCTTAATAAACCTTAGACACAAGAGATTTCCTGCACTCTCTCTGCTTCCTCAGTTACCAGCTGCTTCCCTTGTTGGACACCTCTTAGCAGTTGGCGTGTCCATGTAACCACCGACTTAGACTGAGCTGACTTGATGGAGCTGCCCTAAACTGTATGAGGTCACCATGGAACCGTGGATGGGCGTGTCTCATTCACACACACAACCTCTAGGATGTCCCCAAGGGGAGACTCACCACCTCCACGCGTTTCCCTCTCCTTGGTCTTCACCGCCACAGGAGTATTTGCCCTTTATGGCTTTCCTCGTCTTGGACCACCCATGGAATTGCCTGTTCACTGCAGTGCTTGTGTTAGGCACACATTGCTGAGAATCCAAGTTCACTTCTCTGGGAGGCTTTAACCCCTCCCACCCGACAGCTGCCACAATGAGATGTTGGGATGGGTCTCCCTCGAGGGAGAACACGGGCCTGTTCCCAGAGGGAGTACTGTAGCCCCTGGGGCCCCCATGTTGTTAACAAGACGGCTTGGTGTTGCCACAGAAATCAACTAAGAGAAATAAATGTACACACCAGGTGAAAAATTCTCATCTTCACTTGAACCAAATTTGGGCCAAAAGACAGAAGGCTGTTGGGTTCTGTCCCTGACACAAAGCTCAGGCTGTGTCTTGACCTTGACCATTGGTCAAGGGTCTTGACCTCACAGTCTTATTCCTTCCTAGCAGCTTGGAAGGAAAGGGGCCACTAGGAGAGGCGCTGGCGAGCCGTGACTGGAGGTTTGGAATGTCTTGTCGCAGGGGTGGGTGCAGCCTGGTTGCAGCTGGTCAGGAGACGAGGACAGTGGGACCAGAACACAGGTCCTTGTCTCCTAGGAGAGAACTCAGGCTTCTCTTGCTCTGGCTTTACCTCCATCTTGTGACTTTTTAAAGAGAAGTTATGCATGAATATACTTCCTGCAACAGCCCTTCCCCATGGGTCACAGGTCACGACCCCACCCCTATCCATCACAGCCCCTCTTCTCGGGTCATTGCCCCAGCCTACCTCCCTCTCCTGAGGAGCTGGCACCAGGTGCTTCTGGCCTCTGGCTGATTTTTTCCCCTTTTGTCTTCATGTGGAATGGGGGGTCTATTTAGCTTTGTTTACAAAGACGCAGTTCACAAGGGTTGGTTTAGACAAGCCTGTATGTATGTTGGAGAACATTTCCTCTAAACATACAGCACTCTCTGTCAGTTTGCTGCACTGAGGTGGCCTGTGGTTGCTGTGATGCTGAACCTTGTGTCATTGGGGTGTCAAATGCCATAACAGCTGCCCATGGTGGCCAGTGTTAGATGGAGCTCCCAGTTTAAGACCGGTTTGGAAACAGGAGTGGTATGTACTTCCTAAAGAACATGCCTCTGGAAACCCTATGAACTTTGATAAATGACAGTAGTTATAGAAAGGCTTCAGGCCTTTTGTTCACAGGTCACTGTAAGTCGTGCTCGACTCATCAGCAAGAACAAACACTCCTATAAGCATGTCCAGTAATGACCTAGGACCTTCTGTTCCCCAGTGTTTTCCCTTGTGCCCTCTGAGAAGGGTGGTCAGCACCTGCTGTATACACAGGCTCTGGAATCTGTAAAGTCATGGGCTTCAGAGCTGCGCTGAGTGGGTCCTGAAACCCCTCTTCATGGCTAGCAGGATCTCTCCTAGACAACAGAAGCCTCCTTGCATTTTGAGAGTCCGTCAAAAGGTCATGACCTCACCTTCGACAGATAAGCAGTTTGGGTTTCACTAGCCGATCATGGGGATCCAGTAAGGGTCAGCCACTGTGTCCTACTCTTCTGTCACTGGGGTGGTGCTGCCCTAAGGCCCCTGCCTGTGCTGACCGGGCCCTTTGGACACTTGTAGCGGCCGTTCCCTCACTTCCTGCCCAGGACCCCTGATCCTGTTTTGTAAAGAGCAGAGGCCACGTGTGGATGGCCGTATGTGACCTTTACCAATTTCACAAAGGGGAACTGTGTCAACAGCATCAGTAACGCAGAACCAGTTCCGATGAGTTTGGTGTGCTCCGCCTACTCCCATTGCCTCTCTGTTCATCTCAGCACCGGTCTTACTGCCTTCTGGGTCCAGGGTCTGATGTGACGGCCAACAGACTACACAGAACCGTCTTGGGGAAGTCAAAAGGCTATAATTCAGATTAGTAGCAGAATACAGTCGGGACAGTTTCCAAAATGTGCACGGTGCCACCTCAGCCTTGAGGCTCAGGGCTTAAGGGCTGTGTTAGAGAGTTCTCAGTCTCCCATTACTGGCTTGCACACACACACCTCTTAAGTTGTGCACTCAACTTGGGCAAAGGCTCTTGGCTTAGCTCTGGTTCTGTAGATACGGGCTGGGCTAACAGTCTCATCACGTGTTGATTCTCTGGATTTCTGCTTCGGCCATGGCCCCTGCTGCTGCTCTGACTGGCGTAGGAATGTCTAGGCCTGAAGGGCATCCAGTGCATGCCTGCTTCTCCTTGCTGGTGGTGAGAGAGACTCTCTACTGCTGGGGTCACTCAGATTTATTGGTGGGACTAGCCATCCTCTTGTAGATTGCTGAGACTGGCCGGTTCCCTGTGGACAGGCTGACAGTCCCGATTCTCATATTCCCGCGCCTTCACATGGTCAGGTCAGATGTGATGGCTAGAAAGTCATATTAAAAGATACATTCCACACCGTTGTACCTGCAGTACCCCCACTTCCTGAAAAGAGAAGGCAACAAGCTGCAGATCATGTTGCAGCGCAGAAAGCGGTACAAGAACCGGACGATCCTTGGCTATAAGACGCTGGCTGCAGGCACCATCAACATGGCCGAGGTGAGTTGGGCTCCCCCAGCAGCTGCCATGCTACGTGAGTCCTGTGCCCCAGAGGGTGGCTAACACCTGTTTATAACACCTGTGTATCAGCCTGACCGCATGGCCTCCTGTGCAACACCTGTGGCCCTTGGTGCAGTTACCTGCAAGTTTCCCGCCTTCACACAGAAGGTGGCTATGACCTGCAGCCCTGTCCTGAGCCCCTTCCAGGAGAATGTCTTGCTGTTGCTGGGATCCTATATCCCAGCATTTCCTCATCCCAGAAGCAGGGAGAGACAACACCAGGGTGCAGGCAGATGTCAGGGTCAGGTCCCCAGATGATTAACACAGCCCAGCATCACAACTCTGGTCAGTCTGCACTCCAGCGGGAGCCAGCAGACATTCTTCACATTAGAAACGTCACTGAAGAGGTCCCTGGAGAGGCAGAGCCATCTGAAGTTACCAGACTAACTGCTGTCCTCAGAGACCTTACATCAGGCTGGGGTGTCAAGGGCAAGGCCACTGGACATGGAGCAGGGGCTTGAGATGGCACTGACTATGTGTCCTCATGTCCCAACACTGCCTGTTCCCATTCAGGTGATGCAGCACCCATCGGAGGGCGGCCAGGTGCTCAACCTTTGCAGCAACATCAAGGAGGCCACTGTCAAGGTCGCTGAGATCTGGATCTTCTCCCTGTCCAGCCAGCCCATTGACCATGAGGATGGCATCATGCAGGCTGGCCCCAAGACCAAGTCCACAGGTTAGTGTAGCACCCATGAGTCTGGGAGGTGTCTGTGGGTCTGGGAGGTGTCCATGGGTCTGGGTGGTGTCCGTGGGTATGGGAGGTGTCCGAGAGTCTGGAAGGTGTCTGTGGGTCTGGAAGGAGTCTGGGAGATTTTCAGTAGGTTTAGGCCGCCAGGACCTGCACTTCCCTCTGCTGCAGATGTTGCTGCAATACAATCAAGCAACAGACAGAGGGTGAGGGGTCAGGTGGGGTGCAGGGTGGGTGATGGGCCAGTGGGGGAACAAAGCCAGTGAGGGGTCAGGTGAGAGTACAGGGTGGGTAAGGGATCAGGTGGGGGTGCAGGGCTGGTGAGGGATCAGGTGGGGGTGCAGGGCTGGTGAGGGATCAGGTGGGGTGCAGGGTGAGTGATGGGTCAGGTGGGGGTACAGAGCCAGTGAGGGGTCAGGTAAGAGGACAGGGCAGGTGAGGGGTCAGGAGTGCAGGGTGGATGGGGTCAGGTAGGAGTGCAAGATCCACAAAGGAGTACCATCTCCCTGGGGCTGCTGCACATCAAATGCAGGTGGCAATGAGCAATAGAGGGGGACCCGTGGGACTTGGATGGCAGTGGAGACACCCAGGGCTGTGGAGTCTGGAAGGGATTCCAGGAGGCTCAGCTGGGAGTGGGGTGCAGGGGAGGCCCCCTTACATACAGAATAGAATCTCAGGGTCCCCCGTCCGCATGCCAATTCTGCAGACAACTACTCTGAGGAAGAATACGAGAGCTTCTCCTCCGAGCAGGAGGCCAGTGATGATGCCGTCCAGGGACAGGTAGGCATGACCACGGGGCCTGTGGGGGTGGGGCAGAGCAGACCTGAGGGGGACACGGGGAGGGGGACAGACACAGTGAGGGGGGAACAGACACAGTGGAGGGACAGAGCAGACCCGAGGGGGACATAGTGGGGGGGTATAGAACAGACCTGAGGGAGACACAGTGTGGAGGGGATGGTATAGACCTGAGGGGGATATAGTGGGGGGTGACAGACACAGTGTGGGGGACAGAGCAGACCTGAGGGGGACACAGTGGGGGGGATGGAGCAGACCCGACGGGGATACAGTGTAGGGGAGATAGTGGATGGAGGAGATAGGTTACACATGAAGGAGTGTTGCAGGCATGAAATGAGGACATGGTGTGTCACTGTGGCAGCCTTTAAGGAACAGAATTTTCATCCCCAGGGCTTGTGGCCATGGTTAGGGATACTTGGAAGCAGGGGTGGAGGGTGTTACCAGGGGAAGTGAGGAGAAATGGCAGGTTGGATGATGAGATTAGGAAGGAGTGTGAGGCAGGCACTCACTCTGGTGGCCCAGAGGGTTAATACCTGTGAAACTGTGAGGAACACCTGGCTGTGGGCCCCAGGAGAGCTGTTGTGTTCAGGGAACCTAAGTCCAGCCCCGGACTCCCCTGACTCCTCTCTGTCCTTTGATATGTCCCATTGTGATTTCAGACCAGTCTCAGGGTGTGACCCTGTGACTTCAAACCCACCTGTCCCATCCTGGGGTGTGACCCCGTGACCTCAGACCCCCATATCCTTGTGGTGTGACCCTGTGACCTCACGGACATGTGTCTCCACAGGACCTGGACGAGGATGACTTCGATGTGGGGAAACCCAAGAAGCAAAGGCGATCGATAGTAAGAACGACGTCCATGACCAGGGTCGGTGGCGACTGGTTTTACTAACCCTGGGAATGGGGGGGGGGGGGGGGGGCCAGGAGGTGTGTGGGGCCCCAGCCTATCTGAAACAGACTTGGGGGCCTGGAGACCCTAGCACAGCCCTCCGTGGGGAGGCGGGAGGCAGTCCGTCAGCTGCAGCTTCCCTAGGAAAGCAGTGCAAAATGGGACCGTGCCACGCTCGGCCCAGCCCCAGCTGCCCCGAGCCTTCGCTCCCCTGCAGCTGCGGAGCTGACAGGTCACATGAGGAGCAGATGGCATGGGCTTGTCCAGGAGGCTGCTCCACACCAGCCCCCAGCCAGCCAGGCTCACACATGACCAGACTTCATGCGCACACAGGCACACCTCCAGAGACAGGCGTGCACACACAGGGCTAGGCCCCCCCCACACCTTGGCCTCCACAGGCATGCACACCACAACAGGTCCCGACACTCGTGGCCTGACCTTCGCACACAGCCGGGCCCCAGGCTCTGTGAGGGAAGTTCCCGGGGTGGTAACTCTAGCCTGGGTGGGAGGAGTCCCCCAGCCTGCCGCAGGCCGCCCCGAGTGCCCATGAGCTCTCAGTGCTGAGCCCCCCAGGGAACCTCCAGCCCAAACCCAGAGGATGCCTCTTGGCCTTAGGGCACAGGAGGCTGGGCAGCAGGACTTTGTTCTGGCCCTGCCGGTGGTGGCCTCAGGGCAGACAGCAGCAGGAGGGTTGTGGGGCCTGCTCTTTAAGAGCGGGTCCAGGTAGAAAGTGGAGAAGAAACACTGGCCCCACGTCTCTGTGTCCAGGAGCTCAGAGAGGGCCGGTCTGGGAGCCCACCTACATGCACCCCCGTGGGGGCTCACCCCTGTGGGTGCCCAACCGTAATGCCTGCCATAGGTCAGTGCCTGTACACACATGCCCCTTCTGTGGGTGCCTGCACACGTGCCCCCCAGGGGTGTCTGCCCTGGGAGTGCCTGTCCCTGGGGATGCTCACCCACCCACGTACCCACTGTGGGCACCCAACCACGTGCCTGCCATGGGTGCCTGTTCCCTGTGGGTACCCATCCACATGCTCCCTCGTGAGTAGCTTGCCCATAAGCCCACCATAGGAGCCCACCCACATGTTCCCCGACACCTGCTAGAGTGAGGCCCAGGGCAGTGGGGCCTGGCTGCCTCACTTTCTGCAGAAGGCTATAGATGGCCTTAGGTAGAATGGCCATGGGCTCACCAGGCCCCAGCTCCCTAAGTCTGTCTCTAGGTTTGACCTCATCTTCAGGCATAAAGCAAGCTCAGTGAGTGTGTTACATCGGTGGGTGGTACAGTTAACAAGCTGATCGAAAGCTTGGAGGTTCAGATCCACCCAGCAGTGCCTCAAAAGAAAGCCCTGGCAGTGCTTCTGAAAATTCAGGAGCTCTGGGGTCACAGTCTAGGGAGCTGGGCTGCTAACCCAAAGGGTTCAAATCCACCAGCAGCTCCAAGGAAGAGAGACGTGTGATCTCGCTCATCCAGCTTACAGGCTGCTGTGAGTCGTTTCGGGGAGAAATTAGTTCAGCTGTTGAAACCCCCTGGAACCTCAGTTCTCTGTCCTGGAAGGTGTGGCGTCACGGAGAGAAGGCTGGACAGCAGCTGGTCCTGGTGCTAAGCTTCTGAGAACTGTGTGTGAATTGCAGCATGTTAGGGGCCTCCTTCCTTGGAGGGTCCTCACGAGGCCCCCGCCCCTTCCTGCAGGAGGGGGCCTCTCACCCAGCCTCCTCTTGCTTTACAGCAACAGAACTTCAAGCAGAAGGTGGTGGCCCTGCTGCGAAGGTTTAAAGTGTCAGAGGAGGTGAGGCTGCCTCCCATGCTCGTGGGATCTGGAGGGGGGTCCTGGGTGCTCATACTGGCTCTGCAGTGAGACCCTCTTAGCTGTCCCTTCCCCTGCCACAGGAAGGGTGGCAGAACCCCCACCCCAAGATCCTGTGAGGAGCAAGGGGACTTCTCCCCCGAGCCTCCCACCAGCACATCAGGCCAATCGTAGCCCCCTGAACAAAACCCAGAAGCGGGCATCTCTGTGGGGTTTATCTTTAGTCTGTTTACTACAGTGAATCTGTGTAACTTTTAAAAGAAGGAAAATAGATTATTCTTCATTAAATATGGTCAAAGAAAAACTTAGACACTAAGCTGTGGACCACGTGGGGAAGGAGTTTCATGGCTTCGGGCTCAAAGCAGCACTGTCATCATGGTAGTCCAGTAGTTAGGTGGCCAGAGTGGCAGCTCCAAGCCCACATACAGGTAGATAGTGCAATGTCTGTGGGCTCCAGCAGCATCTCTTCTCGGACATCAGTGCTCCACCTTGTCCGGGTGACTGTCCCAGGAATGATGACACGTGAACCTTGCCCTAGGATAGGGCTTTCTCAGAACCCCAGGTGTAGATCACCAGAGTTCACAGTCACAGAAAGAGATCACAAATCCTGAGTTGTACAACAGCTGAAATGAAAACTCATTCTAGAGGGTTCAGCAGAAGCATCAGTGAGCTTGAAGACAATTCAAACCATCTGAGAGCAGAAAGGAAAAAAGCCTGGATACAACCTGAAGGACAATTGGGCCATCAAAGATAGAGCATATGTGTCAGGGGTGCCTCTGAAGGAGAAGAGGAAAAGGCCCAAACTTCCCAAATCCCTCAGACGAGGTTCTTCAGAGACACAAATCCAGTGAAGTGAATATTTATCGTGTGTATTCAGATTTATCCCAAGGACACATCCCAAGTCCACAGGTCAGGCCTCAGGCCGGAGGCTGCTCCCCTGTCTAGGGGGCTGTAGAGGGTAATGAGCCACAGGACTGTCGGGCAGGACAGCAGGATGCTGGCTCAAGTTCAGAGATCCAGAGGTCGGCTTATGTCCAGCCAGATGTAACCAAAAGCTCACGAATGTTGCAGAATGTCTGTATTTGTTTGATGCCACACTCCCGAGGAAATGCTCCTTCATCAGATTAGCTTCTTACAGCAGCTTGCCTCATGGAAGTGATGACATCATGGGGAAGGATTCCATCATCACTTAGAAACTGGAGAATCACAACCCAGCCGTGAGGACACATAATCCTTAACCCATAACATCCTAGTTGTAAATGTGCAAAATTGGATAACCTAGATGAAAGGGGGACATTCCTAGAAATGCAGTGAGCTCCAGTTCAGAGACATTGCATAGTGAGACTGTTAAAACTCAGACGTCAATGAGACTATACCCATAACCAGAAGTTTGGCAGTATTTCTACATATGTGTCTGTGTGTGCTCTGAATAGATTCACATATATTGTAATGCTAATGGTTTAGAATCATGAAAACTTCATAGCTAAGGCTGAACACCTTGAGGTCATGAGTTGTTGAGGCCCGGAGTTCAGGACCTTAGTGCCAGCAGGCACCAGCATCAGCTTGGCGTGACTGAGTCTGTAAGGAGAGCAGTCAATGAAAGAAACATAGATACTCCTGGTACTCTTTACCTTCAACCAAGATCCATCTGACATTGGCAATAATGTCTCTAGTGTTGTGGCCTCTTTTACAGATTGATTAAGTGTGATTAAAGAATACAACCTTGAAGCACACTTTTCCTGATTTTAAAACATATATATAGTAAGTGTAGGTCTGACTTAGTGGATCTCAATAGATTGTGGCTAACCTTGAGAAGAATGGGAATCCCAGAACACCTGATTATGCTCATACAAAACCTATACTTGGACCAGGAAGCAGTAGTCAGAACAGATTAAGGAAACACTGCATGGTTCAGAATCGGGAAAGGAGTGTGTGAGGGACGTGTCCTGTCTCCACACCTTTTCAGTCTGTATGCAGAACAGATCATTTGGAAGGCTGAGCTTTATGAGGAGGAGTGTGGCTTCAGGATTACAGCAAGGCTTATCCACAACCTGCAGTATGCAGATGACATAACCCTGCTTGCTGAAACTGAGGAGGACATGAACCATTTGCTGCAGAAGGTCAAGGACTGCAGTCTTCAATATGGATTGAAGCTCAACATTAAGAAAACAAAGATTCTCGCTACTGGGCCAATTGGCAACACGATGACAGATGGAGAAGAGATTGAGGTTGTTAACAGCTTTAGCTTACCCAGCTCCACAATCCATACTCTTGGTATCAGCAGCCAGGAAATCAAAAGACGAATTGCATTGGTGAGGTCTGCTGTGAGGGACCTCTCCAAAGTCTAAAAGAGTGACGATTTCAGTCTAGGGACTAAGGTGCACCCAATCCAGTCATGGTCTCAGAAATTATTTGCTGTGCATCAGAGAGCTAGACAGTGAATAAGTATGGCAGAAGAAGCATCTATGAGGTGTGGTGCTGCAGAAGTATATTGAACATACCATGGACCACCAAGAGAATAAACGGGTCTGTCTTGGAGAGAGTGAAACCAAGTGACAAATGCTGATCTTGGGAAAGGTGGCGCATTGGAGAAGGAAAGGAAGACCTTCAACTAGATGGAATGATAAAGTGAGCACTGCATTGGGCTCTTGTGTGTCAGGGAGTATGAGGATGGCACAGGGTAGAACAAGGTTCAGATCTTTTGTTCACAGGGTCACTGTGAGTCGTACTCAACTCGACAGCACCTAACAACAACAGCACAGCTTATTGGATACTATGGTCTGTTTTAACTAGTTGTTGTTGTTGTTGTTATGTGCCATCGAGTCGCTTGCGACTCATAGCGACCCTATGTACAACAGCTCT